AGCACACCCGCTCAACTCGGGGTTCTTTACGCCTCCCATCCCCTCGGGTCGCCAGCGGCCACCGTCGTCTCGGTGACTTAATCGCCGAGGTTGTGTATGTATAAGTATCTATATAGGCTTGTCTGCTTAAAATGTATCTTGACACTCGACCGTGATATAACATCAGTGCCGTGCAATAAGCCTAGTCACTTGGGGAAACGCCACTGTAAATGTTTGCTGTCTTCACAGCGACAACATGAGGTTACTACTAACAGATATCACGTAATTTATGTGAGAGTGTCATACGTGTAGCGCTGTGAGCTGCAGCACGTGTGTGCTGTCCACCAGGGCCAGCGCCCGCCAGTGACCCATCGCAGGATTGGCCCACCGTCCTGACCCCAGTGCTCACAATCAACAGATACGACATTTCCTTTTGCATTATGCTGCCTGGTTCATGCACATCTCGCCTCGATCGTTGGATAGAATGAGATGAAATGGCGCGTTGATCAACTCGCATATTTCGTGTGAATCACCCACCCCCAGAGACTGGAAACGACTCGGCCGATGGTCACGTCCATGGCGGCTCGGTAAACCTCGATCTACTAGGCTTCAGATGAATCAGCTTTAAAAGGAGTAAGAAAGCAGTGGCGGTATGTACACGTAGCTTTCGTGCAGGTACTGAGCCCTATTAATGCGCATTCGGCGCGGGCCACTCCTCGACAAGCAGCACACAGCATGAACTCTTTGGATTATCAGACCGAACACCAACATTACTTCAGCAAAGCGCTTTGACTAATCACCACAGCAACACACAGACCTATGAATTTGGTGTACATAGAACCACCAAATTCACATCGAGCAACCTTGACACCACACAGGGCAACACACAGACATGATAATCTGGTTACATGGAACAATGAAACACCAACATTACACGCAGCAATCCTTTACAAACACAACAGCCACACACAGACATGAATTTCTTGGGCTTACATAAAGAACACCAAAGCATTACATCAGCAACCTTACAACACACACAAACACACAGACATTAATTCGGTGGTTTCATAGGAACACCACATTACCCATCAGCAACCTTACAACACACCAGCCCAACACACTAGAACATGGAAATTCTTAGTTACATAGAAAACCACATTACATTCAGCAACCTTAAACACACAGCAACACACAGACTGGAATCTTGTGTTACAGACGACACACAACATTAAAGCTTCAGAATCTTACAAACACAAGCAACACACAGACATGAATCCTGGTTACATACCAGACAACCAACATCGTACCTCACGCACCTTACGAACACACAGCAACCCACAGACATGAATCTTGCGCTTACATACGAACACCAAGACATTACATCAGCAACCCTTACAGACACACAGCCAACACAAGACATAGAATCTTGTGTTACAGACGAACACCACATTCATCAGCAACCTTACAACCACACAGCTCACACACAGACGGGAATCTTGGTTACATTACAAACACCAAACATCGTACATCCAGCAACCTTACAACACACCAGCAACAACACAGACATGAATCTTGGTTATACAGTAGAAGACACCAACATTAGCAGTCAGCAACCTAATACAACAACACGAGCAAACCACAGATCATGATCTTTGTTACATACAGCAACAACCAACATCGTACATCAGCAACCTTACATACACACAGCAACCGCAGACATGAATTCGGGTGGTTAATGACAAACACCACATTACAATCAGCCAACCTTAACAACACACAGCAACACACAGGGACTGGGAAGGCTTGGTTACATATCAACAACACCAACATTACCATCAGCAACGTGCAACCCCCGAGAAACACACGACAGGATCACGATTAAATATCAACCAGCCACCCACCACAACCAAAGACTGGCTTAATATGTCGCATAGCATGCAAGGTGAGTTTAGCGACAATGTCACCTTTGCCTATATAGTCGTAAGTGGTTCAACAGTGTCTGGCAGAACTGTCTGACTCAATACGAAAGCTGTCTCTTTGTCTTTTCTGCCCCCCTCTACTCGTTTCTCTCGCCTTATCTCTCTCTCTTTATCTCACCCTCTCTCGTATCTGCGCTCTCCGCTCGCTCTCGCTCTCTCTTTCACATACAGTTCTCCTCTCTCTATCTATCTCTCTCTCTATCTGTTATTCTATTAGCTATCTCTCTCTCTATCTGTCTGTCTATACTATCTAATCTCTCTCTCTATCTGTCGTATCTATCTATCTATCCCTTAGCTCTCTCTTTCCTCCGCTCTCGCTAGTCTCATCTCTCTTTCTCTTTCTCTTTCTCTTTCTATTTCTTCTTTCTCTCTCTCTCTCGCATTTCTCGCTCTCTCTCTGCTCTCCTTTCTCTCTCTCTTACATCTTTTAGATGCTGCTATGATTCCTCGCCGGTGCTGAGGAAAGACTTCGCGATCTGTTTGATCTTATCGAGCTGGGTGGCTGTGAGATGGATGAAGCTGCATGAGCACCCACTTTTTAAATTACATCCAAAGCGCCAAATTTTACCGGCTTCCCATTTGTTTACAATTTTTTACATTTTCCCCCAGCGCCACCACGGACCACTCACCGCGCTGCGGCTGTCTCTGGTCACACACACTGCTTCTCGTTGACTACCTCAATGCTCCTACACCTTGGTCTGCCTTGCCTCATCGTCCCCCTCATCCTCTGTCTCTCTGCTTCCACTGCTTCCTCCGCGCTCCTACTTTTTTCATCGTCTTCCTTATTCTGTTACTCCATCGTTGTCGCTGCTCCAGAACCTTCTACGCCCCTCTCCTCCTTAATCCTCCTTCCTATTCTCCTCTTTCCTCCGTACTTACCACAATCCTCCTACTTGACCCATCTTTCCTCCGACACTTACCCCTCGTTCTGCTCCCCACCTCACGCATCTTCCCCCATATGTTGGTGTTTGTATGTAACCAAGATTCATGTCTGTGTGTTGCTGTGTGTTGTAAGGTTGCTGATGTAATGTTGGTGTTCGTATGTAACCAAGATTCATGTCTGTGTGTTGCTGTGTGTTGTAAGGTTGCTGATGTAATGTTGGTGTTCGTCTGTAACCAAGATTCATGTCTGTGTGCTGCTTGTCGAGTGGCCGGTGATGCGATTTATCATACCTGCACGAAACTACGTGTACATACCGCCACTGCTTTCTTATCCTTTTAAAGCTTGTTGCATCTGAAGCCTTGTTAGATCGAGGTTTACGAGCGCCATGGAGCCATCCCGCGTTTCCAGCTCGGGTGGGGATTCACCGAAATACGAGTTTGATCAACCCATTTATCTTTTCCTACAACGTCGAGCGATTTTGCAGAAAGGAGATAATTGCAAAAGATGTATCTTGATGTGAGCCTGGGGTCAGGACGTGCCAATCCTGCGATGTCACCCTGGTGACAGCACACAGTGCCGCACTCACGCCTAACGTATGACTCTCACATAAATTACGTGTATCTGTAGTGTACTCAATGTTGCGTGTGGAAGACAAACAGTTACAAGCGTTTCCAAGTGTAAGCTTATTGCCAGCAGGTATATCACGTCGAGCAAATCATTTAACCAAGCTATATAGATACCATACATACACACACGCACGCACAAGCACGCACGCGCGCGCACACATACACACACACAAACAAACACACCACACACACACACACGCACGCACGCACGCACGCACGCACGCACGCACTCGCGCACGCACGCAGGCGCGCGCACACATACATACACATACACATACACAGAGAGAGAGAGAGAGGGGGGGGAGAAGGAGAGGAAGGGAATAGTAGAACGAATCGATCGTGGAGTAGTTCGTCGATAATGTATAAATTTACATTCTCAGCAGAAGGGGAATGCCAGCTCCCAGGTGGAACACCGTCAGCACACATTACTATATCGTCTTATATGATGTATCCGGATAGCATATTCTCCGGTATAACATATATTATCCGGATAAACATGATTCATGTCTGTGTATGTTGCAGGCCTGACGTGCAAAAGCTTCACTTTGAAGGCAAGATGTTCATCATCCACCTGACGTATAATGAGGTAGGTGCTCAGCTAACACGCACGCACGCACGCACATACGCACGCACGCACATGCACCCACTCTTTCCACCTCTCTCTGTCGTTGTCTGTCTGTCTGGCTGTCTGTCTGTCTGTCTGTCTCTCTCTCTCTTTCGCTCTGTTTGTCTCTGTTTATCTGTCTCTCTCACTCGCTCTCTCTCTCGCCCTCTCTCTGTCCCTCGCTCCCTCTCTCCTTCTCCTCCCCCCCTTCTCTCTCTCTCTCTCCTTCTCCCCCTCTCTCTCTCTCTCTCTCTCTCTCCTTCTCCCTCTCTCTGTCTCTCACTGTCTCTCTCCTCTCTTTCCCTCTCTCTCTCTCTCTCGCTCTCTCTCTCTCTCTCTCTCTCTCTCTCTCTCTC